AGCACCCCTGTGATGCGGAGCACCCGTGTTTTCTCCTGATGGCCAGTGACCCTTTCCCCCAGGTGATAGTTACGGGTGTCCTTACGGGGCTTCTGCGAAGGTCAGAGTAGTGGACGGTATACTCACTGAGACAATACAGCTACTCCTGTGAGACAGACAGAGCGCGTGCAGACCTAAAGAAAGCCCGCCGGGGATGCTTGCTGCCCCACCCCAGAGCCCGCCTGTCTCAGACCCCGGAGGTACGGTCCTCGCTTGGACTTGCCCACTGCTCTCTTGCAACATTTCAATGAACTCTCCACTTTCCCACACTCCTTGGCTGTTGATAAATTCTTTTCTTGCCCTTGGTACCAGCTTTCCTTAGGCTGCCTTGGACGGCAAATAGCTGTGGTTGGAAAATCGGGTCTTCATACAGAAACCCTTGATGGTGGACAGGTGGACTCCTGCCTTCTACACCCACGGGAATCAAGTGGATAGAGGCCTAAATATGAAAGGCAAGATGTGCAGATGTTCAGGATGTGACGTAGGGTGAGTCTTCCAAGGCTTCAGGTAGGAATAATTAAGATATGCGCCTCCAATGCCCAGAAATCTCACTCCTGAGTATATATGAAAATAAACTCAGAAATATATGCACTACATATGATGTATGTGCTATAAGACAGCCTACATAGAGTACATATATATATATATATATATATATATATATATATGTAATGCTCATGAGAATCTTTTTCAGAGTAGCACTGAAACAACCCAAGAGCCCAAACCAGTAAATTAGATCAATAATTGTGACATCATCACACAATGAAATATTCAGAACATTCATAAACAAGAATGAAGTATTGAACATAGACCAGCCTTGAAAACATGATGCTAAGTGGAAGAATTCACTTGTGGCGAAAAGCCACATGTCGTAGATTCCGTTGATATGGAAGATCCAGAAGAAGCAAATCCACAGAGACAGCCGAGCCGTGATTGCCAGGTGCTGGGAGGAGGGGAGAAGGAGGCCTGGCCACTGGAGCGAGGGCTTCCTTTGGGTGACAAAAGTGCCGGGAGATGAGTAATGAGGGCGGTTGTGCAACATCACAAATGTCAGGATGTAGCTCAGTGGCGCCTGTGCCTGCCTCGAAAGCTCAAGGTCCTGAGTTCAATCCCCAGTACCAAAAAAAAAGTAAAAGCATGTATGTTATGACAATTTTTTAAAGAATGAGGGTATAGAGGATTCGAATAGCACTATTATCATAGACACACAGTTTCTACGCATATAAATCCATAACCACCGATACAGATATTCTCTACCACAAAGAACTTTCTGCTTCTCTGCGACAGATGGAGGCGACATCAAAATGAAGGACTGTGGAGAAGTTCACCACCTATCTGAGGATGGTCTGAATCTCTGCACCTCAGCAGCCTTCTCCAGTCTCTGGCTTAGGGTTAGGTTTCCCAGTTGTGCCCGGAACACACAGGCGAGAATCTGGGTTTTGGGGGCTGCAGCTTGGCCCCCAGACTCAGGCATCAGGAGTCTGAAACCTGAGGTTCTGAAACTGGAGCACCCAGTCTGGAGGCTGAGCCGCGAAACCCTGAGTCTGGAGCCTGGAACATGAATGGAGAACTTGCAGTGTAGGTGCTGGGTCACGAAACCTGATATCTAGAAAAGCCTCCCACAGCTGGTCTGGTAAAATATAGGGGAGGTTTGCAAGGAGCCCCGAGCTCAAACCCTCAGGGAGGCAGGGCTGCCCCCAGGACCAGGAGTCTTAGGCTGGTGTGAAGGCCCTGGGGCAGCCTGGGACACCTGTTCTGAGCCAGCCGGGGTGCCCCTGGGGCAGACAGCCCAGGTTTCTGAAAAAGGAGAAGCACACAGTTTTGGAGAAAGACTTTTGCAATCTCAGTGCAGGCTGTCAGCACTCCCAGAAGGCCAAAAATCAGCAGATGGCACAGAAGGAAAATCATCAAGGCTGCACATGAGCAGAATAATCAGCAGATTTAGAGCTTTAAGAATGCCCAAGAGGGGCTGGGGATTTAGCTCAGTGGTTCCAGCACCTGCCTCAAAAGTACAAGGTCCTGAGTTCGATCCCTGGTACCAAAAAAAAAAAAATGGCCAAGAGTGGAACTGCTGTATTTAGAATAGAGGACAGCTAAGGTGGGTAATTGTTAAAGACAGAAAAGAGGTTTAAAGGATCCATCACTCATACGAAGTTGCAGATAAGAAGCCTTTGGGGCCAGGGATTTAGCTCAGTGGTGCCGTCTGCCTGACTCACAAGTGCAAGGTCCTGAGTTCGATTTCCAGTACCAAAAAAAAAGAAAAGAAAGATAAGAAGCCTTTGTATTAGTCTGTTTTCCACCACTATAATAAAATCTCCAAGGCTGGGTGACTTGTGAAGAAAAGAGGTTTACTTAGCTCACAGTTCTGGAGAGTAAAGTCCAAGATCAGGCTGTCCCGTCTGTCCCGCCCTGTGAGGGGCCCGCCAGCAGATGGCACTGTGGGTGGGGTGTGTGTGAGAGGGATCACAGCAAGACAGGAGCTGAGAGCCTTGTTTTGCTTTGATTTATTTTGTTTTGTTTTGTTTGTTTTGTTTGTGGTATGGGTGGGGTTTTGGACCCAGGGTTTTCACAGTGAGTTACATCCCCCCTTTTTAAATTTTTTATTTTGAGATAGGTTCTTGGTAAGTCACTAAATTGCCCAGGCTAGGATCCAGCTTTCAATCTTCCTGCCTCAGCCTCCCAGAGTGCTGTAATTATAGGTGTGTGCCTTCACACCCAGCAGAGCCCACTCTCAGGCTGGCTAGCTGAGGTCTCCCCAGGGCAGTGTCCCCAGTCACCTTCCACTGGGTTTTACCATTTCAAGATCCCACCACCTCCTAAGGTCGCCAGGCCTCCAGCACGGGGACTCCTGGCGACGCGTCACACCCAACAGCAGCCATCCCACACGACTTCTCCTAACTGTCCTCTGTCTCGAAGAGTGACACTCACTGCCACGGCGGTGTGACCAAGACCCTGGTGTCCACCGACAAAGGATATCTCCAGTGTCCTGACCTCAGCTGTCCAGTTCTGACTCCAGACTTCAAGCCTGCATATTTCCGGAGAGCTCCAGCTGCTGCAGAGCTGTCCATGGTCTCCGGACTCTGCCCTCTGCTCCTGGACTCCATGGTCCCAGTTGCAGTTGGGTCGGGGAAGCTGACTCCGCTCCCAGGCCAGAACCAGCTGCTCTCTGTAAATAACATTTTGATGAAGCGCAGTCACACGCTCTCATTTGGCTGTCTTCATGCCGAGGCAGCAGAAACGAGTAAACGCAGCGACAGCGTCTGGCCCACAAACCCACCATAATTGCCTGTGGACCTCTGCAGTCAGTCTGCTGACCTGTGGTCTGGACTCCTCGAGCTGCCTCCAGCCCCCTGATCCCACACAGACTCCAGGCTCTGGAGTCCAGTGCACAAGCCAAGAGTGGAAGGCTTCGGATCCAAGCCCTGCACTGTGGCCCCTGTTCTATATTACACAAGCCAGGCCCCTGATTCCAAACAGGACCCCAACCACACCAGGACAGACGGAGATGGCTTATTATCACGGTGCCCAGTGTGGAGCAGAGAGCAAGTCAGATGAAAGAGAAGCCCTTCTTCCGGTGGGGGCCAGGGGAGGGTGTGGCCAACAGCTGCCTTGCCGCTCCCCTCATTTCCTTTTGCTCCCCCTTGGTCCCCTGAGGGCAGACTGAGACAGCCTGCCTCAGTCCAACCCGGCATCGCTAAGGTTACCTCCTAGCTGCTCTCTGGGCCACCCTGACAGGACGTGCAGCTTGGTTGTCACCCGCAGCGCCACTCTGCCACTCCCACCACTCCAGATGCCGCTGCCACCTCTGAAGAAGTGGCCAGAAAACCACCTCCAGTGTAGAAGGGATCAGGGAGGGCTCAGCCCCATTATTCCCGGTCCCCAGGAAGTGGAGATCACACAGCTAGCCCTCCTGAATACTGCACAGCATTGGCCCAGCCACTTTTGTTAAAGACATGACAGGTGGCAATCAAGCAGCAGCATCTGCCCATGATGTAATCCTGAACTGCCGCTAGGACAGCTGCAGTGAGAGTGGATACCTGCACCGGCTGCAGGACGTATCCACTCTGATCACCTTAGACTTGAAATTAAACTGAGCAGTAAAATTGAATTAGGACCAATCAATGTGCTCATACAATGACTTGAATGTGGACCAATTTGGACCAATCAACAGGCCCAAATTTGGACCAATCACAGGCCCAAATTTGGACAAATTGGCAGACTGGAATTTGAACTAACGCTGAGGGCCGACATTGCTAGCAGAGCTGCACTTTGCCAGTTCATGGCTGCTATCTGCGTCGAGCAAAAGTACTCTCAGCTGATTGGTGGAGCCAGGACCCCAAGAGAAGAATCCGGGGTTCATTCCGCATGCCCAGCTCTCCTACTTGGGGACTACAGAGCCCCGCCCGGAAGGCAGGCAGGGCCCCTGCGGGGGACAGCGGGTGGTGTCCTGGCCAAGGGGAAGGCAGGGCAGAGCCCACTCCCCACAGAGGGCGGGGCCGGGAGCACAGCGCCTCCCACCGGTCAGGAGGAGCAGCTGCAGGACCCGCTCCCCGCCCCTCAGCCCATCACACTCCCTGCGGCCCAGGCACCGCAAAGTCTGAGCGCGGATGGCCACGAGAGGGCGGACGGGAGCACGGAGTCAGCCCCGCCCTGCGTGTACCCAGCATCAGCCCGGGCTCCCAGCTCCCCTGAGGCCCTGCGGGACGGGACCCTCTGCCCAACCCTGTCCCCTCACCCCTCCTGCAGACACAGCCCTCTGCCCACCGCCTCCAGGCGCTCTCCACCAGGCGCTCACCTCACACACGGGCCGCTCCATCTCCCCTCCCTGCCCCACGCACAGCTGCGCCCTGCTGACCTTCCCATTGCTCCGCGCTCATTTCCTGTCTCCGCTCGCTCCCCCCCCCCCCAGCGCGGCTCCCTGTGAGGGGCTGACTCTGCTCAGCGCTATCTTCCTGGGTACAGAAGCTCTGTGCCGGTCACCTTTTTTTTTTTTTTTTTTTTTTTTGGTACCGGGGATCGAACTCGGGTCCTTCAGCTTGCGCAGCAGGTGGCGAAATCACTGAGCTAAATCCCCAGCCCTCGGTCACCTTCTTGATGAAAGCTTTGTCCAATTCACCCTTAGGCAGGAGTTTGAAGTCCCCACAGGAGACTGTCTGGAAACTCAGGAGCAGGCCAGGGAGGACAGGGCTGTGTCCACACCAGGCAGGGCCTCGGCTCCTCCTACCACAGACTTGGGTATCCTCCCGGGCTGCAGGATCTGTTCCCGACACACCCTTTTTTGGTCCTGGTACTGTGCTGCCCCACTTGAGACCACATGTGCTCCCCGTTTCGGGTTGTTCCGAGGGCAGCGCCAGGACCTGCACGCTCTCTGTGATCCGCGCGGGCTCCTTCAGGCGGAGCAGCATCAGGTCGTGGCTGTAGTCGTCCTCTGGGTTGCTGGGATGCGGCTCCAGGAGGCTCATGTTGAACAGTGGGTGAGGGAAGCTCTGGCTGACGGTGACGTGCTGAGCTGTGTCTTCATCATCAAACAGGCTGTGGCGACCCAGCCAGACCTGGTAGTCGCTGGGGTAACCGGGGTGGGGGCAATGAGGGCAGAGGAGTAGACAGGGACATGGGGGCACAGGGGAGAGGGGGTCCCGGAAGAGGGAGAGGGAGAATGAGAACCCCAGAGGGAGGGAGAGAGGGAGGGGAGAGATGCAGACGGGGAGAAGCAGACAGCGGGGAGAGGACAAGGGGAGGTGAGGAGAGAGAAGCAGGAAGACCACAGAGAGGAGAAGGAGGTGTCCGGGGTGCAGGGACGGGGGCGGAGGAGGGCAGTGAGCCTCGGGAAGGGGAAGCAGGAAGGACACAGGAGGAGACGCGGAGGAGCCGGAGACCCCGGGAGAGGCGGCAGGAGGACGGACCGAGGACCAGAGAGGGCGAGGAGGGGAGGCCGGGGGTAAAGAGAGCAGAGGGGGGGGGGGGGGGGGGGGGAGGCCTGAGCGGCCGAGCTGCAGCTGGGGCAGAGCTGAGGGCTCCCAGCGGGCGGCCTGGACCCCAGCCCAAGGTCAGCGCCGCCCGCCCCCACCTGCCCGCCTCCTGCCCTCCCCTGCGCTGTCCCCTCCAGCCCAGCTCAGCGGCCCTTTCCCGAGTCTCCCGAGTGGACGGACGGTCCCGCAGCGAGGGCCGGGCCGGTGAGGGGCAGCGCACAGGCTGGGCTGCATCCACTCCTCCCTCTGGGGTCCCCGGGCCCGTCCTGGCAGTGCGGTCAGCAGAGTCGGGGAGGGGACTGATGTGGAGACCAGAGAGACAGAGGCTTGGGTGGGGGGGACACAGCGACAGAGAGGGCTGCAGAGACGCCCGGACATGGACAGAGATGGGAGCCACAGAGAAGCTGGGACAGAGGGACAGGGAGAGGGAGGCACTGCGGGGAGCTCAGCAGCCCTGGGCGGGAGGTCAGGCCCCAGCTGCTCTCAGGCCTCTGGGGTGGGCACCTTCCTCCTCTCCCTCAGTGCCCACCCACAGGAGGCATCCAAGGCCACACCCACTCTTTCTCCTGTGGAGCAGATGCCCCTCCCAGACCCCTGGCCTCCTCATCTTTGCGGGCAGACCTCTCACTGAGACGGAACGAGACTGAATCCAGGGTCTTCCACCGCTGAGCTGGGGACTGAAGAACCTCCCTGAGGAGCCTTACAAAGCCTTTGATGCCCCAGGACCCTGTTCCTGCCCCTGCTCCGGCACCCACATACTGGCCAAGACCAGCCCTGTTCCTAAGAACTGTTCACCTTCTTCCACACTGAGAGCCGTGGAAGGGGAGGAGGACCCAGCATTTGTTGTTCTGAAGATACTAGATCACCTTGGATGCATTCCCAGGGCCCAAGGCCTGATGGAGGCAGGGCCTGAAGCTCCTGGAGACTTGATCTAAGACAGAGCCAGAAAAGAGAGGCCCAAAATGAGGAGAAACAAGGGTGGGACTGGCCCACAATACTATCCCTAAGACCCAAGAAAAGTTCTTTGTACCCCAAGACCCAGTATCCCCTGACATACCAGTACCATGGGGCTACGAAACTCCCTGGTCCCTGTGCTGCTCTGGACCAAAGCGCTGACCCTCTAACATCTCCTGAATAGAAACCCTTGCATTCAAAACTCTGATTCTTGCCCCCACACCCCAATCTAGTTCCCTAAGTCTGTTCCTCTCTCACAATAAAGCTTTGTGGGCCTGCAGATTCTCCTGCCCCACACTCTCCCATCCAGAAATACGAGTCTCCAAATCGAGTTCCCACGCATTTCAAATTCCAGGGTCCTGCAAATGATGTAGGGTCCCTGCAACCCTACTCCCCACTCTTCAGATCTGTGCCTGACATCCTCCCCTCAAAAAAACAGACCTCAAGAGCCAGGTTTATTTTTGTTTCTCTTTTCTTTTTACAAACCAGATTTATGCTCTTCACCAGTACGTGGCATTTAAAAAATCAGACTTGGGGGTCACAAAAGAGAACTAGGAGCAAGAGCATTGCCAACTCCTCTGTTAAGTGTAAGATTTTCTAGATTAACAGCACGTTGGTTATCTCAGCTGTTCTGTAAAACCAAAGCAGCTCATGTGGATCCAGCCTCAGCTGCATCTAAGGAACTTGATAAAATCTTCCCACAGTCCTTATAGACAAGTAAACTCAAAGTACAGCAAGAGACATAGAACTGGCACCCAGGTAATTAAAATTTAAGACCACAGAGACTGGGACTGGGGTAGAGAGGTATACTCAGGCAGTACACATACACACACACACACACACACACACACACACACACACACTCGCGCGCATGCGTGCGCAGGTGTATTAAAGCTTCCCTGGAATCATCCTGGGAAAGAACTTTGCCTCCATCTCAGTGAGGTCCTCCCGGATCCAGCTTTGCCAAGCACATCCCAATGCCCATCCAAACTTCAACCAATCCTGACCCAAGCCAGTTGAACCCAATCCAAGCGCATCACACACAACTCCAACCCAGCTAACCCTAACTCAGTCTGACACATCTTCAGAGCCCCATTTCAAATCAAGTCACACTCACCCCGTACTCACATCCAGCATGACCCAATGCTCACCTCTGTCCTCCACCTCCGAAACTAAGCTTACTCTCAACCCCCATTCGATCCCGACATATTTCCCGCCCAACATCAAAACAAATTCATTGCCAACCGGAACCCAGGCCACCCCAAAACACCCTGACCTCATCAGACCCCAACCCGGTCAAATCTCTAACCCAACTCCCACAAGACGCCCCATTCCAACTGATCCTCATTCTCTCTCCTCGAACATATTTTGTTTGAACACACCACACCGGCCAAAGGACCCCAAACTACGTCACTCTAACTCTCCAACCTGCCCACACCCTTCTGCATTGTTCCCACTCGGCTCTGACCTCATGGGAGTCCCTGCTTCCGCCCCCCAGCCTGCACACGCTCTGGCTCGCGTTTGTTCAGGTACGGCTGAGACAATGCTGGCGTTGGCACAGTGAGCCGTATCGGGGAGTCACCAGGGAGGAGAGGGGACTGGGAGTAAACGCTTGAGATTCCATCACTGGCAACACTGACCGTGCTCAAGCACCTATCCGCCATGGTTCCCTTTGGTCAAAGGCTTCCTTATTTAACACGGGGGTCCAGCCCAACAGCACGCAAGATAAGCGCTTCTGGGGGAGATGTGAGCGGCTCAAACTACGCAGCTGGAGAGGAGCGTGCCGGTTAGCCGGTTAGCCGCAGCAAATGGTGTCGCGGCGGCCGTTGCGCTCCTCCCCTCGAGGTTGCTGGATGACGCGTAATGCAACCCACAGGCCCCTGCGACAACGCACATGCGCATATCGGCAGGCCAGGTGCCACGCTTGCATAGGAGGTGAAAAATGGAGAGACAGCATTGGGTGGTCCTCCATCCCTTTGGGAATCTGGAGTTCACATTACCTTCACCCCAGTGCCAATGGCTCCAGGCCCCACCCCCCGGGGACCAAGAAATATCAAGCCTCACACACCTGGAACTCGACCCTGTTCCTTCTTGCGGCCAAGATTCTTGGATTCCTGCACCATTCCCACATCTGTACCGCAGGAGGTCAGACCTTGCCAGTCCCACCCCTCAGGGACTGAGAGTTCAAAACCCACAGGCCCGAGCTCCAGCTCCTGTTTCAGAGCTCAGAAGTCTGAGCCAGCTCTCCACCTTTGCCCCCTTGTTGCCCTGCCCTCATTCAGGGTTTGCCAGTGGAGCTGCTGCCCGATATGGTCAGCAGAACTATGATTAGGCTGAAACCATGGTTAAGCTGGAGAAGCCAGATGTGGTGGATACAGTGTTTGACCACGGTCTGTTGAGGTTGCCCTGCACACAAGGGTAGAAGGCACAGTCTGGATAGCATTAGGGAGACAGTTCTCCATGATTCCCTCACACTTCTGTGTTAGAAACCAAAGCATTAGGACTTTTTTAAAAGGCAGGGTCTCACTGGGTCTCTCAGTCTGGTCTTGGACTCACCATCCTTCTGCCTCCCCTAGAATGCAGGTGTGCACCACCATGCCCAGAAATAACTACCTTTTCAAGGACGTTTGCATGTCAGGAAGTATCTCCCCCAGATCGGATTTGTTTACCATCTCTCTTACTACATATTTGTTTACTGTTTAGGATAACAAATGTAATGTCAGTTTCCAGTAGGTCTGTCTTCAGCCTATGATAATAAAGTCAATATCTGCAATCAGAGACAAGGGCCTGGCAGGTCTGTCTTTGTCCTTTTTTTTTTTTTTTTTTTTTTTGTAAGTAGCCTTCTTATAAGAGTGGGGATTCTTAATCCCAGGACCTGCCCCAATGGTACAAACTCCTCATTAGTGTGCACAATACACCTGGTGGCACCATAAGGTTTGTGGCAAAGTGAATGGATGTAAACCTGAAGCTCACACCACCTTCTGCATTGTGGGTATTCAAGTCCTTCAACCCAGGAGCCTCCTGTGCTCCACCAACATCTGTGGAACAGAAGCAGGCTAACTTACTTCTTTGCAAATTAATAACATTTCAGAACCTTCAAAGTACTTGACAAAGAATTGGACACACAGGCTCCACCTGCAAGGGCAGCAGGCAAAGACCCTAGCTGGGGGCAGTGGGCAGGTGGAAAGCAGGAAAGGGAAACAGTGCAAAAAGTCCCAGGGGCTGGGCATGAGGGTGCACACCTCTAGTCCTTGCACTTCGGGAGACTAAAACAGGAAGATTGCAAGTTCAAGTCCCACCTGAACTACCTAGCAAGCTCCTGTCTCCAAAAGAAATGGGTTGGGGATGTAGCTCAGTGCAATGGCCCTGGGTTCAATCTTTGGTGCCACAAACAGTGGAACAAAAAATGATCAGATGCTGTTGTCATGGGTGTTTGAGAGAGGCCCAGAAGCAAGGGTCAGGGTGGGGAGTTATTAGAAGTCTGCCTCCATCCTCTCCAGGGTAGAGACATTGGGTCACAATTCACTTCTCTGCAGGTGGTGGCTGATCCTGTCCCCCGTGTCCAGAATGATCTAGACCTGGAGAGCATGAGTTCCAATCCCCTTCCTCTATTACATGAGGCCAGCAGTGCCCTCCCAGAGAGACGGCGTGAGAATTACATGAGTGTCTGTACGCGCTGGGGGTTACGCCCAACACACATTGGGTGCTCAGCAGTGCTGCCACATACTTACCGGGCCTCCTGCACACGACCCTTTGATTCTCCTGGTGACGCTATGAAGGGAAGAGTCCAGTTGGGGTCAACCTTGTCCACAGAGGTCAGCCTTGTGTCCCAGCTCCTGAGAGGTTGTCTCTAAGCCTTTGGCCATATCCTGCCTGATTAGGGTGCCTTTGTTTACCTGGGCCATTGGGCCACATCAAACAGTCTTAACAATGTGACTCATGGGAAGGGCTTTGGGCCACACGGATCAGCTAGACTGCCAGAGGGGCTGGTGCTCAGGGTCAGCCATGAAGGTCAGCAA